TTGGATGGATAGCTTGCTCAACCTAGATATAGTAGGGAAGGCCTTGGACCTTCCCCAAAGCAATATGTCTTCCCTTCTCTGAGGAGTGTATGGGGGGCTGGGGTAGAAGGGTATGTGGAGGGAATGGGAGAAAGGGGGGAGCAGGAACTTGGATTGGTATGCATAATAAAAAAAAGATAGTTTGTTTTCTTTTTTAAAACAAATAAAAAATAAATAAATAAGAAGAGAACTCTACCTATGGGACATGGGAAACTGAGGACCAGAGAGCACCAAGGAGTAACAAGATAAGTACTCTTTGATGTTTTCTAAATGATGTGCATGTATTGGCTTGATCACAGAATGGGTTTGTCAAGGCCAGAGACAAGAATCAAAGACTAATAGTACTTCTCACTAAGTCTGTCTAGTGAGTTTGACCCCCACGACTTTGGTTGGAAGGAGACAACCAATTCCCCCAGGTTGTCCTCTGACATCCACGTGAATGCCATGGCAGGAGTCTTCCCCTACACACACATACACACACACAAACACACACACACACACACACACACACACACACACGTCTATATGAGAAACGTCATTAAATGATTTTGTTTGAAAATCAGAAAGAAAATGAATGAGAATCTGAAGCATCAAATTACTAAAGCAATAGTTGGAGTCAGGAGTAGAGACAGTGAAAGGTGAAGAATTCTCTCTGTGAGCGGGGCTGCGATAGGAAACTCTAAATCTTAAAATAACTTAGAAGAAATATTGTCCTCCTTTCTAGAGATGAGGAAACAGCCTCCAGGAAGTTCACAGAGAACTGGGGGTGTGACTCACTGACAAAAAGCTCCTCTGACATCTGAGAAACCCTGAGTTCGATTTCTAACACTGCCATTGCCATGTCCAACAGTAGATACAGGAAGCTAAAAGTTGTTTAAAGACATAGATACAGAGCTTAAACTGGAAATACTAAGGTTGAACCGAACTCTGTTTCCAAGGCTCCTCCATGTTTATCTATGAAGTTTGGACCGTTGGCAAACAAGAAGACATAGTGGAACCTTGAATTAGCAGAAGACATTAAGGTTTTTGTAAAGGAAACACATAGACGTTGATATAACTTGAAAGTTAAAAGTCATCAGAAGTGAATTCAGACGTGGTGGCACATCCCTGCACCCATGGCATTCAGGAAGGAGTTAGGAGGCTCTAAAGTTGTGGCCAGCATAACACTCTGTCTCAAAAGAAAATAAGAACAAAAGACACACACACACACACACACACACACACACACAGAGAGAGAGAGAGAGAGAGAAAGAGACAGAGACAGAGACAAAGAGACAGGGACAGAAAAACTAACAATATTGAAGCTGAGATGCTCCTGAGGGTCCGGAGAGCTGACTCAGTAGTTAAGAGCCTTTACAGCTATCCCAGAAGACCCAAGTTATGTTCCCAGCACCCATGTGGGGTGACTCATGACACCCTGTAACTTCAGCTCCAAGATTATCTGATGCTCTTGGCCTCTGTGGGAACCCACACATACACAGACATAAAACCAAAAGTAAATCTTTGGGGGAAAGAAAGTAAAAGCTGTTTACAAGAGAGAGGGAGCAATGGAGCCAACTCTTGAACAGCCTGGGAGAGTCAAATTCCCTTCACTTCTTAAGCAGGTGGGAAGGACACACTACAGGCACGAGTGTTCCTGAGCTGGATTGGGAGGAGCTGAGAAAGTGAAGTGGTCACACACACACACTCACTCCACTGTGAGAGGTTGTGAGAGGTTGTTTATTTTCCTATGAATAAATGAGTAAGGAAGCAGTAAGTTGTTGCTCTTCCCTGGGGCTTGAGTGGTGGGTGAGTTGAAAATCATCTGGAGCAAATAGAAAAGCAAGCACTCCGATTTAGCAAAGATATAGCTTACTCCATCTCATTTGATTCCCAGACGAACAAGTATTTAGTTATTTATAGGAGCTGTGTAGTTTAAAGATCAAGGGCTATTTTATCTGATTGATAACTCTTAAGGAAAAACACTAAAGGATAGGAAGCTGCTTTAACATCAGAACCCTGAAATGGAGCCACCTTAAGATGACCCAGACACAGCAGATTTGCAGCCTTCGTTTGGACATAAAGTGGGAACACAGGGCGTGGCTCCCAGGCAGAAAAAGGGCTAGACTATCTGCCAAGAATTAGCTGGAGGGCATAGTTCTTAGCGATATGCTCAACATTACAGATTTGAAGGGTGTGTGGCTAGAGTCCTGGAATTCACCAGAAAGCTGTGACTGACAACAACTTGCTGGGCTTTCTCATCTGCATTTCACCCATCGGTTCTATACATTTTATATCCCAGAGGTGTATGATAACAGAAACCGTTATCAAATCACCATCTGCAAAATAGCTGTTCTTTACAGCGCTGGGCCAGGCCTGCGTGTTGTCCTCAGCCGTGGTACGTACAACAGAAAAGATTTCTCCTGAGCAATTCTTTGATAGACTTGAGGTCTATCTCAGTGGTTTGGTGTGGTGGTTATGATTCTAAAGTCTGTCTATGGTCATATCTCACATTAACCAACATGATTAATATAGCGGGGGCCCGTTTTCCGTGTTCATAAAATTAGGATAATAGAACATAGCCTGCAGTGATTAATCTTCAAGAATTGGGGTCTGGTGAGGAATTACTGCAAACACAACTTGTCTTTAGGTCTCTAAGAAGGGCCCTGCGAAGTTTCAGATAACAATCATTAGGAGATAATCATGAGTAGCTAAATTGGTAGAGTACTTGCCTAGCAGGGAAGATTATTCTTAGCTACCTGCTAAGATGAAGGTCACCTTAGGACACTTGATACTATCTTACACACACACACACACACACACACACACACACACACACACACACACAGAGGTTTGGGTGTATTTCAGTGGTAGGCCATTTCCTTAGCATGCACAACACCCTGGGCTCAATCCCCAGCACTGTTTCAACATAAAGCCAGATGCGGTGGTGCGTGCCTGTAACACCAACACTTGGGAAGTGGAAGCAGAAGTTGAGGCTGTCTTTGGTCGATAGGAGTGGAGTTTGAGGCCATCCTGCTCTACATAAGATTCTAATATCTACAGTTACATAAATCTATAACTATATATTTGTGATAATTAATCTTGGTTGTCAACTTGACATAAGGAATCAGCTTAACCTCAAGCAGTACGACATGCCTGGGAGAGATTTTCTCAACAGGATCATTTAAGGTGGGAAGACCTATCCCAAGGTCTTCCATGCCTTCTGGTGGCAGTCCACGGAAAAGGATATGGAAGAAGGAAGCTTTTTCTTTTTGCTTGCTTGCCCTCACTCTACCTGACAAGTTCCTATCTCCTGCTGTGGAGGAATTGCTTCGCTACTATTGGAACCTGTGTCTTCAGGATTTCAATGGAGATTGAAGGCCAGCAACTTCCTTGGAACCCTCCAGGACTCTCCAACCAGAGTGGGACCCCTCAGACATTCATTCTCATGGGCTTATGGGTACTGGATTCTTAACCTGTCAGGAGATAGCCATTGTTGGACTAGCAATCAATTCTGTTTCTTCAGAGAACTCTGACTTCGACTATGGAATATGTGTAGCTTCCCCCCCTCCCCTTTTCATTTGCGACAGTGTCTCAGTATATAGTCCTGGCTAGCCTGACTGGCTTCAATTTTACAAAGATATGCCTGTCTCTACCTCTGAAATACTGGGATTAAAGGCATTTGCCACCACTCATAGACTATCTTTTCTTAGTACTGGGAACAGAACCCAGGGTGTTGTACATGCTAAGGAAATGACCTACCACTGAGATAAACCCAAGCCTTTGTGTGTGTGTGTGTGTGTGTGTGTGTGTGTGTGTGTGTGTGTGAGAGAGAGAGAGAGAGAGAGAGAGAGAGAGAGAGAGAGAGAGAGACAAAGAAAGAGAGAGAGACTCAAGTGTCCCAAGGTGGCCCTCCTCTCACTAGACAACCAAGGATAACCTTGAACTCCTGACCCTGACTCTACAAATTCTGAGATTACGGGCACCCCTGTGCCTGGTTGTTTGTAGATGGATAATGATATGGATATATGGCTAAGTGTGATAGCCCACACTGGAGAGCTGAAGCAGCAAGACCTCAAGTGTGAGGCAGTGTGTGCTGCATATTGAAACACCACCTTTCCCCTCCACACCGAATACACCAGTAATCATTTTATGCACATTTAAAGACAAGTAGCATCAGAAGTACAAAGCTGAAAAAGTCTAAGAGCAGGAGTCTGCTCTGCTTAGGAAAAGCCACTGGAATTTTTAAAGTGATTGACAGTGTTTGAGCCAGCAGGCAAGACACCTTAGATTTGGGGACTGAGCTCTGCTAATACAGTAACTGGGCAATCTCCAGGTCTCTCAGGCTGAGGATTTCCACCTTGGATAGAACCGTCCCCGGTACCTGCTTGTGTCAGGGGCAGTATCATTCACATCTTGAGGCAGCAAGCTGTTCAATTTCCCCTTAAAGACCTCGTAAGTTAATGGTGGGAGGGGAGAAGAGGCTCACTCCTTGCCTCTGCTGTGCTGTGATAGACTTTAATCGTTTCCTCTTTCAAGTAAAACAAGTCTCAAACTCATTCTTTTCCGGAGGAGACTGGACGGCTGTTATCTTGGTTTCCATACTGTTTTTCAAGTTCTGTAGTTTGTGGGTATACAGGGTACAAGGCTGTCTACGAGAGTTCCTAGGCAGATGTGAATTAGCAGTTACCTTTTTTTTTTTTTTGCATGTTCATAAAAATCTCAGAAGGTAGGGGTCTGTTGTTTGTTCATTCAGCCTCCTTTGAGTCATTCAGGTACAGGGTGTGTCTGTCAATTGAAACTGCACAGCGGAGGAAGTTTTGCGTTCACATCTGCTTTGGGTGGGTGGGAAGGCAATGCGACCAGGGGACTTGGGTGGAACCTCTTTTTAACTGTAGGGCAAGGCTGCTACCTAAACAAACCTAACCAAGGCCTCAGTCTCAATCTCTTAAGCATTATCTACTGAGAGAAGATGTGGGTGAGGTGTGACTCTGTAGATTTGGGGGGGGGGTCTCTTAGTTATCTCTCAAACAGAAAAAAAGGAGAGAGAGCTCAGTTTTAGCCAGGCTGCAGTAGGTGCTGGCCTGTGAAAACCCAGGCAACCCCTTCCCCTGTGGAAATTCCTGAGCTGCCTGACTGTTAAATCTCTGAGGTCAGGGTTAGCAGCCCACCTCCTCAAAGGCCCCAGCGCTTCCCAGAATCTGGGACACACTGCCTGGCTTGGCACTCAGCTGAGCGAGGGGAACCCCCATCCAGCACACCAAGCCCGGAGCTTGGCCCACTTCACGGTGCGCCCGGGGAAAGCCACTTTCTGCCCACCAGACCGCAAGTTTCAAGGCTTCGCTAGGATCAGAGTAGAGAGGGGGAGGAGGAGGACAGAAGCATTTCGGTGCCTTCAGGCGGCTCGCCTCCGGCCTCCCTCGCAATCCCTTCCCAGGATCTCCTCCCCGCGGTGCGGCGGCGACTCTCTTGGTCTAGGGTTGGGTATGTAAGCGGCCCCTAGAGCTCCAGACCACTTGGATCCTCAGGGCTGTGGGACCGGAGACCAGAAAGGTCCTCCACGAGATGCAGACTTGTCCTCTGCTCTCTAAGATTTTACCGAAGAAAAGTTTTTCAAGGGAGCCCCATCTCTAGTTTCTGAGTCCTCTCCAGCGCAGAAGACCGCGGATAGAAGGCAAGAGGCGTGATTTGTGAATTAGAATTTAGGGGCTGCCAGGCTCCGCCCCTTTTCTTCCCCCCTCTCTCTTCTGGTTGGGGCGGAGGGGCTCCTATTCATTTCGTTGTATTTTAGTCACTCTGCCCCAGATCTTTCTTGAAGGCTGCTTCTCAGCTGCACGGACCCAGAGGGGCCCCTGCCATTGGCAGAGGGCGGAGGAGTTAGAGGCATTAACCCCTCCCAGTCCCTTCCTAGAGGAGCCACCCAGCCTCGGCGGGGCGCTCAGAGACTTCGCTTTGCCAGTGGTGCGGGTAGCGGCAGCCAAGGCTGGCCATTGGAGTGAACGGCTGCGGAGGGAGGGGACCCCAGCTCAGAGAACTTTGCGAGTGAGCTGGTCGCCGTCATTCGAGGACAGCAGCAAGATGCGGATCGCGCGGTACAGACCCAGAGCCCTGCGGACGCAGCTTCGTCCTGCTTGAGCGAGGTAGGGGGTTGTGAGCCTCTCAGGCTTCACCGCTGACCGCGGGGAACTCAGGTGCCAAGAACTGAGCTTTAAAACCGAACGAAACAAAGAAAAACTTTGAAAAAAAAAAGTGCATTACCAGGTTACTACAGAACCCAGCTTGATTGGCTTCTTCTTGGGGCATGAGGTTAATGAAGTTCAGAAATGGATCAGTCCCCAAATTGTAAAAACGACGGGGGTGGGTGGGTGCGGGGTCAGAGAAAAGCGGAGACGCCTATTTTTAGAAATGCTATAGACAAAATTATCAGGCATCACCGCAATGACTTCCCCTGCCCGAGAGTGGACTGTACGGTTAGGGTGGGGACACATGCAGTTTCGTGAACTTTTCTGTCATAGAAATGACTTCAATCAATGGTTAGAGTTTTTTTTTAAACTTCATTTTATAACGTTAATCTATTACCCAGGCAGTCTTTAAAATACTTCGTGCTGTGTTCTTTCTCTGGGGGGTTCCTAGTTATGTGGGAGGGGGCAATGTCGAGGGTGTGGGCCGAGGACGGGGATCGAGAACACTGACTAAAACTGCCCATGAAAATGTAGCAGTGTGTGTTTCTGGAAAGTTTCTAGCCTAACGCTAGAAGAAAGTGGCATGCTCCGTTATTACTAGCACGGGAACTACTCTGTGCATGCGTGCATTGGCTGAAGTCGAAAGAGGCAATCGGTTCAAGTAGAAACCTCTGGGATTTGCTGCCATCTCGTAGGAGGGGCTCTAGATGAATATCTTTAAGCTTAATAAGTTTACTTGTGTGTGTGTCGGGGCGCGGGGGGGGGGCCTGGGGTGGGGGGGAGGGAAGCAAAAAAAAAAAAATTAAGAAGAAGAAAGACTAGGCAGTTGCTTGGCGGAGGCGCCAAGCTTTCCTGTTTACTGCAAGGCCTGGCGGCCCACACCTCACTGCGCCCTCCGACCCGACCCTCAGCACACCTGCTCCGAGGAGTTATTAATAGAGCCCAGAAAATGACTTACGTTGTCAAACGAACCTCCTGCAAATCTACTTTCTTGCATGGTAACTAGGAGTTGGGCTGATCTCTAGGAGTTCTGTGTGTGTGTGTCTGTGTGTGTGTGTGTCTGTGTGTCTGTATGTGTGTGTGTGTGTGGTGGAGGGTCAGGGGTGTACGTATCTACACTACGCACAGAATTGGCAGCTCCCCAGCTGTGAGAAGAGGCCCCTGGACTGGTGGTGAAGCAAGTGGCTGAGCTGGTGGCACTTAGAGAAATCTCAGGGCTGGAAGCCTGCGGTGGCCATGCCAGGGGAAACGGTGAAGGCTTGAAAATTAGAACGGGGAGCTGTTTCCCATTCCCATTTTGGTGGCTTTAGTGAGCTGAGAGAAGGTTGTCCTCTAGTCAGAGTTTTCATTCTGGGTAATTTGTTTGCTTTCTCCCTCTCTTTCTAACATCATCTCTCTCTGTCTCTCGTTTGTTTATTTTTGTTTTGTTACTAGAAATGATAATTTGAGTTAAAAAAAAAAGTCCTGCCTGTGTTCTGGCCAAGTTTTCTTAAAACAAATCAACAACCAACTGGAGCAGAGCCTTGGCCAGAATAAATTATGCTAGTGTGCTGGGCCTTTTTCCTGATTCTCTTTTCTTTGTAACTCGTTTAAGGCTGCTGTTTCGGAGGCTCTCTCCAGACACGGAAAAGCAACACACACACAAAAAAACGTTGGATTGCTCACTGACCGGGCCCTGCGGTAACTGAAGAACCGCTCAACCTCTCCCTCTAGCGTTCGTCTGGAGAAGTACTACCCCGGGTTCTTGGGGGACACACTGCGGCTATGGTGTCCACCAGCGTCCCTGTGGTTAAGGCCCTTCGTAGCTCAGTTTCTGACTATGGCAACTATGATATCATAGTCCGGCATTATAACTACACAGGCAAGTTGAACGTCGGGTTGGAGAAGGACCATGGCATTAAACTGACTTCAGTGGTCTTCATTCTCATCTGCTGCTTCATCATCCTAGAGAATATATTTGTCTTGCTAACTATCTGGAAAACCAAGAAGTTCCATCGGCCCATGTACTATTTCATCGGCAACCTGGCCCTCTCGGACCTGTTAGCAGGAGTGGCGTATGCAGCTAACCTGCTGTTGTCTGGGGCCACCACCTACAAGCTCACCCCCGCCCAGTGGTTTCTGCGGGAAGGGAGTATGTTTGTGGCTCTGTCAGCCTCGGTGTTCAGCCTCCTTGCCATCGCCATAGAGCGCTACATCACCATGCTGAAGATGAAGCTGCACAACGGGAGCAACAGCTCGCGCTCGTTCCTGCTGATCAGCGCCTGCTGGGTCATCTCCCTGATTCTGGGGGGCCTGCCCATCATGGGCTGGAACTGCATCAACTCGCTGTCCAGCTGCTCCACCGTGCTCCCGCTCTACCACAAGCACTATATCCTTTTCTGCACCACCGTCTTCACCCTGCTCCTGCTCTCCATCGTCATACTCTACTGCAGGATCTACTCCTTGGTCAGGACTCGAAGCCGGCGCCTGACCTTCCGGAAGAACATTTCCAAGGCCAGCCGCAGTTCTGAGAAGTCGCTGGCCTTGCTGAAGACGGTGATCATTGTCCTGAGTGTTTTCATCGCCTGCTGGGCCCCTCTCTTCATCCTACTATTGCTGGATGTAGGCTGCAAGGCGAAGACCTGCAGCATCCTGTTCAAAGCAGAGTACTTCCTGGTTTTGGCTGTGCTGAACTCAGGTACCAATCCCATCATTTACACTCTGACCAACAAGGAGATGCGCAGGGCCTTCATCCGGATCGTATCCTGTTGCAAGTGTCCCAGTGGAGACTCCACTGGCAAATTCAAGCGGCCCATCATCCCAGGCATGGAATTTAGCCGCAGCAAATCAGACAACTCCTCCCACCCACAGAAGGACGATGGGGACAACCCAGAGACCATTATGTCTTCTGGAAACGTCAACTCTTCCTCTTAAAAATGGAAGCTGTTGATACTGGGGAACCATTCTGACTTGGTCACTCATCCCCCCAGAATTTAAAAAAAAAATGTCTCTCATTCTCCATTGCTGCCAGGAAGGAGCTCCTGGGAGCTTAAGAGAGGGAGGGAAGGGAGAATGTGTGGACTGGCAATGCCATGATGTCGGGTAGGTCGTTCTTGTGAACAAAGCACTGGAAAGGGTGGAGATAAGGTCTGGCCTGCAGTGGGTTTCCTGCCACCCCCATCCCCTGGAGCTTTTATTTTGCACTGAGTCAAAGGTCTAGCATTGTCAAGCTCCTAAAGGGCTCATCTGACCCCTTCTCAAAGACTAAAGTCCCATGAGAAAGTATCCCTGGTGTTTTGAGATGTGATCTTTCACTGTAACGGTAAAGTGGGGATGTACCCGTTAGCTTGGTAGGGGGTGCGCACCTCGCACTCTCCCTCCCCCTCCCCTCTCTCCTTCCTGCCCCTTCTCCATATTCTTTTACTTTACATCTTAACTGTCTGACGTTGTTCGTCAGTAGGGGGTTGTACAGGGCTCTTTCTTGATTGTCTGAAACTGGACAGCTATTCATAGGAAAGGCTACTTGCTGAGGCCAAAGTTTCCATGTAAGGTATGTTAAGTTGTTGGGGATTTGGTAGGCCATGTTCAAAGTGAAAATGTGTTCCTTATTCCTCATGCATTCCTTATTCCTTATTCCCATTACAACCACAGTGAACATGTGTTTTTAATGGGAATAACGAAGTCTATTTTATTTGAATGATATCATCCCAGACCTGAGATGAAACAGGAGAAAACCCACAGGGTGAAGTAAAGTGTGGTGGTGACTTTTGCAAACCAAGAATGATTTCTTTTTGTCCTTCTCTAACAAATACGATGTCTTTGGCACTTTTATTGATTACTTCAGAGTGTTGTGTGATCCATTTTAAACAATGGATTTAGACACGTTTAAAATACAATTTGTGATTTTTGAATGTACTTGTTTCTTTGAGGTCATCTTGTTGAGTTTCTTCCTAACCTGTGTTAACACCACTGAATGTGTAGTTCCGAAGAAAGTACCACCCTCTTGTATCAGAAAAAGCATTACTTTAACTGACAGGGAGCATCAGGAGTTCTTCATTTCAGCTGTTAATAGATAGAGATGATGAGGTGTAAATGTTGCAGAGAATAAAAATATATTGCTGTCTCTTTAGCATGGTGTTCAGTGCAATTAAACCAAGAAATGTCTTTTTTAAAAAAATAGTATTTAATAGGTTTCTGACTTTTGTGGATCATTTTGCACATAGCTTTATCAACTTTTAAACATTAATAAACTGATTTTTTTAAAGATTCTTTTGTGAAGAGAACTTTTTAGAAATCCCTCACTGAGATGTCTGTCGATTATGTGGCCCTTTGAAATTAGAGTTAAGAGTAAATTTGCAGTCCTCTTTAAAAGCTTTTGCCTTGATAAGCTAGGGTATGGAAAACTGTGGTTTGTTTTGAAACCACTGTAGCTTTTTCAGGAAGAGAAACTTCAATCAACTAGCATTAAAGACATGTAGAGAGAAAGAGAAAAACCATCAGCCTTCTAAAGACCACAGCAAATAAATGCAACTATTTGGAGGTAAACAAAACTAAGTGTGATAATTCCACCCTAAAATATAGCCTTCTAAAATACGACAGTGAATTCTTAAATCTTTTTCAAACCCAACCACAGATGCATGCATTCTTGGTCTTTTCACAAAGTGCTGGGGGAGAGAAAACACGGTGAGCAGGAGATACTATTAAGTCGCTCAGTGCTTTGTACTTTTTTGGTGTGTCTGCTCTTAAGTCAAGGTCTACTGGGTTCCAGGCTTGCCTTGTGCTCACTCTGAAGATGAATGTCAACTTTTAGCCCTTCTGCTTCTGCCTCTTCCTCAGTGCTGGGCCCAGGTTTATGCTGGGCTGGGGATTGAACCCAGGTCCTTACATATGCTAGGCAAGCATTCTACCAGCTGAGCTACCTATCCAGTCTCTAAGTCATCCCATGTTCAAGGACACCGTCTTGGGTTCTTATAAGAACAATGTGGGACTATGTCGTATCAACTTTAACAGTTAGAATATAGGGTGAGTGATCACTGCCCACCCCTGACACATATATACTGTTTAAATTTTTCTCAGTGTTCCTGGCCATTTAATGCTTCTAGTAAAATGGAAGCAACTGTGAACTGGCAGCATACGATACAAAATTATCACAACAGTCAGTTCTTGGAGTTATTGTCATCTTCTTTTTTCTTTTACTGCAGATTAAATGGGAGTACTTTGGTGTGTCTGGCTTTCCAGCCTATTGTTACTTTTCAGAATTTGTGCTTGCAAGTGTCATTGAATATGCACAGGACAGGACACAGTTGGAACATGAAGATAAACCTCACCTACTAGAGTAGATGTCATTTCTGGGTGAGGCTGACTGTGGGAAACAGAGTGTGTTCACTAAGGAAACCTTAGGTCATAACCTCCAGCTTCCTGAAGGAAATACCAAAAGTGCTCGGAAGACAAAGGGCTGGAAACAAAAGAGAATGTCTCTGTCCATCTGTCTGCCGTGGCGGAAGGGGTGACTTCATGTTCCACTCACTTCCTCGGGCTTTCGTTACAGACTCGGGCATAATGGAAAAGTGTGTCCATTTTGCTTCAGTGGATGATAAAGCTGTACTTTGGGACTTATCTCCAAGTGCAGGGTGACTCACGATATGGGAACAGATGGGAGCTCCTTGCTGACAGGAGGTCACCTTCTTGTCCACCTCTGAGCACTGCATCCTGTGGACGTGCTTTCTTCCAGTGCCACCAGATAGCAGACCTCATTTGGAGAAAGCTGGTCAGTTGCGGATGTGTGGGACCCCCCACCCCACCCCCAGTTTTAGTCAAGGTGCAAAGACAGAGAGAAAGGAATCTGTGGTTGTATTCTACCATGTACATCTGATTTTAATTGAGTATACTCTAAGGAGTGAGATGAGAAAAATCCCCAGTGATTGACTACACACACACACACTACATGTATATATATATATACATATATATATATAATATATATATTATACATATTAAAATATATGCTTACATAGCTTCATTGGTAGAGAGCTTATCTAGCATGCAGAAGGCTGTGAGTTCCATCCCTAATAACCCTTAAACCTCATGTGGGCAAGGTAGTAATTCCAGGAAGGAGAAACAGGAAGGTGTTCGGTTAAATATTGATTGAAGCCATCCTAGAATATATGAGACCATCTCTTTAAAAATGTAGTCTTGTTCAAGAGAAGTGAGAGGCATATGAAACCACTTAATGTTTTTGTGTAAAAATTCCATTAGTTCTAAATACCAGGAAAGCTACAAAATGTCATAGGATTTGATCCCCAACATTCAGTATTACTAACATCCCAGAACATTATCCGAGGGCTGTTGAGATGGCATAGAAGGTAAAGGTGCTCTCCGTACAAACCCAGTGGCTTGGGCTTGGTCCTCAGAAGCCCTTTGATGCTAAGAACTGGAGTAGGGAGTGATGGTTCACGCTTGTAATCCCAGTAAATAAGAGAGTGAAGCAGGAGAATAAAGAATTTGAGACCAGCTTTGGCCAAGTGACAAATCAGAGGTCAAACAGGGCTACATAAGATTCTGACTTAAAAAACTAAAACAGCTACCACCAAATCTTGGAATATTACTAGGGACTTAGAATCTTCAGTGTAAGCTTTGAATTCATGTGTCTGTGCTCTTTCCATACTAGATTCTCCTGAGTAAGATTGACACTTCATCTGTGATGTCCAGAATCCCTATTTCCCTCCAATGGAAATAGTCTGCTTCTAGAGATCATCATGATAGTCGTTTGGCCAGTTTCTTCTCTAGACGCTGCCTGTGTTAAGATACTGTTCAGTGCACATCTTCTCAATACTTCTCAGACAGCACTTTTCTTAGACTTCGGACCCCTGGCACCTAGACTCTCTCCATCACTAGGATTGCTCACTTCTAAGCATCTGTTTGGAGTTGCTACTCAGAGAGGAAGACTTCGGACAAGTGGCGGATGTTCCTGGGAATGCTATACCACGAGGACCTGAGGAACCAGTTAACTCTCAGTGGTAGCGATCACACATTTCATGGGAATCGGGCTGTAGTGCTGGAGTGGTCCATTTTAAAGCATTCCATGTACAGAACTGCTAAAGACCTTCTTAATATTCAATGATTCAGCAGTTGGGGCACATCTATAATCTCAGTACTCAGGATGCCTAGACAGGGGGATTGCTGGGAGTTCTCATTAAGAAAGCAAACAAACAAAAAAGTCGTTGATTCAAAAACTAATCTCTAGTTATAAACTGTTAAAATATGCAGGGAAGTATTTGTAATGAGTTTTTGTAGTTTCCATGTAATTGTGTTATTCTTTTAATATAACCAATTAATTCATTTTATTTTTCTGAGACAGGATCCCATATAGCCCAAGCTGGTCCCAAACTTATTCTGAATCTAAGGCATATACCATCATACCTGGCTCTAAAATTTTGTTTTTGAGGCAGGGTATCATATAGTTCAGGATGGCTGCCAACTACTTGAAGATGGGCAAGAACTTATCACTTTGCCGTGATTGAGCAAGTTCCCCGATTACCGGTGAGTGTCACCACACCCAGTTTATACAGTGCCAGATGCAGAACCCGGGACTTCCTGCCTGCTAGACAGACACAGACACTCTCCCATCTAAACCCTGCTCTTTTTTTGTGTTTCAGATGACTCATTCCATTCCTCTGGTCTGTGGTGCTTTCCAAGGGCACCTAACTAATTTTATCAAACTAAATTTGATCTCGCTTATTTTTAGAGTTGATTTGTTTGTATTTTCCCCTGCATAGTTCGGTAGTAAGTAAAATTGGTAGAGGGCTCTTTTGTGGACGTGTGTGAGAGAGTGTGGGGGGAGGCAGGTATGAACATGTTTTTTTTTTGAACAAGGTCTCTTTCTGCTGTTCAAGACTGTCTTTGAATTTACTGTAATCCCCCTGCCTGAGCTTCCTGAATACTGGGTGACAGGTGAGAGCCACCCTGCTCAGCACAGTAAGTTCCTGAAGATGAGTGATTGAGTCAGCTCTCCCATGCTTCCTTTCTATCTTTCTGGTGTGCTTCCCATTGCACCAGAAAAAGGACCCAACAGAGACATCTACACAGTTTTCCTTTTAGTTTCATGGTAGCTGAATCTGGAATCATCTTTCTGAACATTCCAGGAAACAAAACATGAGCAGGCAAAAACTGTTCGAGTGTCTATGTGCACACCCAGAGTTTTTCCTTGTCATGGTGGTATGTGTCCAGAGCAGCTGAAGAAGGGGGGTTTTGAATGAGACCCTATCTCAAAAAACAGCTTTTTTACTTGGGTGGGGGCAGGTCAGGGAATATGTTCAGTGCACAGTAAATATATGTCCAAAGACTTATAAAGAAAAACTTTATAAAGACAGCAAAACAAAACCCAAAAGAGGAGAAAGGAAGAAAGTCAAAACAGCTGAGAAGACAAGAGGGGGATAGTGCAAGAAATACTGTTCATTCAGGAAGTCCAGTCTTGTCCTCTTCACAGTTCTTGATGAGAGCTAGGACCAAGAGCAATGCTGAGCCACAAGGAATGTGTCACTTAAAGCACCCTGTCCTCCGTTCCTGGGCTTGCTTCTTGACTTTGGATTCGCATGGTTCCTATTTTCTCCACGTTCTCCCTTTTTATTCCTTTGGGACCTCAAAGATGAACACTCAGACTGTGCTCTATGTATAGGCATGAGCAGTAGCCCAAAGTGAATCTGTGTTTAGAAAAGACTGTGTTGTGCTCTATTGAGGCTCCTCTATGCTCCCACCTGCAGCTTCCTTGTTCATGACAGCCGGCCCACATGGAATGCTACTCAGTTACTGCTAAGTCTTTTAAAAATTTGTATGAACCTCAAAACCGTTATGTTGAACAAAACAAACAAGCAAAACAAAGCAAAACAAAGACAGATTCGTATTGCGTAAGCCCCAGTAGTGAAATCTAAGAAAAGGTAAAACTGGAACGAGAGAGGTGAACTGGGGTGAGGAATGCTGCTTGCAGTTCTCTCAGAGGATCTGAGTTCAGTTCCCAGCACCCCCAGCAGGTGCCTCGGTAATTCTGGTTTCTGGGTATCCAACACATCTGTCCTCTACCAGACTTACACTCATATGCACTCCTAGAATAATTAAAGACAGTAAAAATAAACCTTTTTTAAGAAGGAAAGGAAAACCAATGTATTAATATCCAAAGAGAATGAGCAGGGACCCAAGAAAAGGAAGAGGAAGGACTCACTAGGTTGTCAAGAATGTTCTATATTCGATTCTTTTCTTTAAGGAATATTGTT